CTAGAACTGGGTTGGGGCCCATTGTTCGGTACTGGGGGCTCTGACTGGAGCCGGACCCTTCCATTGCCTCAGCGTAACATAAGTTCTCATGTTTCCTTTCATTGTCAGAAGGCCGGACCAACGCACGAGGCCCTCTGTCATTCGGGCTCCCGCCCCCGTCCTTGGTGAGCGAATCTTACCCCGACTGACCCGAGGCCCCTTGTTGACAGACTGTACCCTTTTAGGCACTGTGGGCCCTGAACGCTACAGGGCCCTTTAAATCGCGGGCCCGGCCTTGTCATTGCTTAGGAAATGGGCCCCCACAGCTCAGACCAACACGGAGCCGACTGTTCGTTGTCGCTGATCTCTGGCCGGCGTAGAGAAACGCTCCGCCTCAGGGGTCCACATCGGTGCAGGAGGTCCTCTTACTTACCTTTAAGATCACGACACCACGGACGGCAGTCCTGAATGGGACATACAGCCAGCTCTTCGGACCACTCAGCCTTCCAATCGGGCCCTTGATCTTTGGTCTAGGGAGATCTTTCGGCCCTCTTCGGGCCCCCACAAACACCCCTCAGACTCGGGGCCACTTGCCGCCGCAGGACCCCTGTTAGGCACTGTCGCCCCTGACTGACACAGGAGCCCCTCATTGTGTCATGAACCCCAAACATTGAAAATCGCGCGCTCCGGCCTCGTTCCTGCTTGAAAAATGGGTCTCAAGGGCTCAGACGGGCATGGAGACGACTGGGTCGTGTTCGTGGTCTCTGACCGACTTAGAGACTCGCATTGTTTCAGGGCGCCCTTAAACGGCGCAAGAGAATCTGTGGCTGACATTTCAGTTCACGACCCCTACAGGCTACGATTCTTTATGTGACCTACAGCCAGTTCTTCGGGCTCTTATGCTCTCCAATCGGGCCCTTGATCGTCGGTTCCAGTGGGCCGCCCGGGCCCCTTTTCAGGCCTCATCGAACACTTCCCTTGGTTGGCTCAGGCCCTTGCGAGCACAGGACCTCCTGTTAGGCGCTGCAGGCCCCAGAAATACACAAGGCCCCTTTTCAGGCCTCACCGAACACTTCCTTGGTTGGCTCAGGCCCTTGCGAGCACAGGACCTCCTGTTAGGCGCTGTGGGCCCCAGACATACACAAGGCCCGCGGCCAGTGTAAATCACTGGCCCCGATTTTGTCGCTGCTGGGGAAGTGGTCCCCCAGGCCCATACCGACACGGAGGTGACTGCGCGGTACTGGTGGTGCCTTAACAATATATAGGCCCATATTGACTCAGGGAGTCCCCGATCGGCACGAAGGGTCCTCTGACTGCTATTTAAGGGCTCGTCCCCGCAGGACCAGCCCCTAAATAAGACTCTGACCAGCCCCTTGCGCCAGCCCCTTGTGACCAGCCTCAGTCGGGCCCTTGATCGTCGGACCCGTTGGGCCCTCCAGGCTCTTCGGGCCTTCGCAAACACTGCCTCTGGCCGACGCGGGTCCCCTTGCCAACGCAGGGCCCGCGTCAGTGGCTGTGGGGTCCTGACAGCGTCCCGGCGAATGCAAATTGCTGGCTCTGACTTTGTTCCTGCCTGGGAAATGGACCCCCAGGCCCATGCTGCCATGGAGACGACTTTGTGTTATTGTTGTACTTGACCAACATCTAGGCCCTTATCGACCCAAGGGCCCCTGATCAGAGCACAAGGCACTCTGGCTGGTATTGGAGTGCCCGACCCTGCGGGCTGGTCCCTGAGTGCGATCCCCGGCATGCCTTTCGGGCCCTTAATCGTTGTACCGAGCGGCCCGAAGAGCCCCTCGGAACCTACGGGGGGGGGGGGGGGGCACGTGCCTCCTGTGCCCCCCTGCCTGTGCTACTGATACTGTCTCATCTATATGCATTGTATTGCCGTGAAATTTCAAAGCTCCACCACAGCTGGCGCTACTCTCCTGTCTTCTGCATATTTGTCTGCTCCCGTCTCTCTCTCTCTCCTGTCTCCTGTAACGATGCCCCATGACGCAACACTTCCGCGGCGCGCCTGAAATGACAAGCGATGAGGAGCATCCTCCGCAGATATCGATCATAGCAAGATCAGGCACTGCTATCATCCAGGAATGCTATGCGGCGACGACTCAATATCCTGGCCTGTCGCTGCCAAAGCGGATAGCGGAAACATCTCCGAAGTAGCTACACAGCATTCATGCTTGAACCTGTGTCGCGCGCAGTCGGAACCGAAGTGACCTGATATCTCCGTTGTCTAGAAACACCAGCCCATACGGCGCCTTACTTAAATATGAGCAAAAGGTATGAAACACGAGACATTGGCGTCATTTGCTGAGAGATTTTGGCCGCCGGTGCGGCACGTACACTGCCGTTGCCATATTCCGCGATTGGGCACCGTGAGAATGATTGATGGCCAGTGCAGCGGATGATCTACGATTTACAGGCACGATATCACCTAGGCTGGATTGCCGGGGGCGGGGGGAAGGAGGGAGAGCGAATGCTAGAATCCGCTTCAGTGATGTGGCGTGACGTTGGAGTAAATAGCGGAAACACATGAGATTCCACTGAAGATAGTAGAGAGCACCAAAGCTTAGCCGGCAAAGGTTGTTACAAGTGCCTTATAGCGTGATCAACATTATTTGTTGGCTATTTGGTTTCCTGAGCGCCAAACTTTCAGCTGGCTAGGGCCTGAGTTGGACACACTACCTCATGCTGAACCGGGACATCTCATTGAAAGCACGCCCATCCTCACCCGCCCGAGCTTACATTGACGCTTTTACAGGCCCATATTCGCCCATATTCGCCCATATTCGCCCATATTCGTCTACAGCACAGCCGTAAGTACTGCCATACGACTTGATGAGACGCATTGTTGGGATCTGCCTGAAGCGTGCTCCGACTGCTTCAGTAGCGCTCCTCCGAGTCAGAAGACATTCATTCAACGCCGCTGATCTGGAAAATTCCCCTTCTGACGAGAAAAAGTCGTTGATAATGGCCGTATATTGCAAAATGGCGGCCGGAGGCGAGATATCTGCGCGATCACTCGTGCGGGAATGCTCTATTGAAAAATGAGTCGTGCCACCGTTTTCCTGGCACCCATTCATGAAGGTTGCTCACGATTATCTCTGCGAATTTTCGGATGACATTTCTGTCCAGGACTTGCAAGGCCCCTTAACACGCGCCTGAGTAGTCGGGTGGGGGCCCCTTCGCTACCCTTCGCTCGGGTGGGGGTCAGTTTGACCCCTTGATATCTCAGAAACTAAGAGATCTAGAGACACCGAACCTATAGAGTGTATTGACCTATACGTGAACTCACATAGAGAAAAGTTTGAGGTTCCTGGGTCATGACCTTCGGATTAAATAAGGCTAAATAAGGTCAAGCTCTAGGTTGATCTCCAAAGACTCCTAGAACCTAGGTAGCTGTTCTGAGCAAGAAGTTACGTGCCCATTCAGGGTCAGCGACCTTGTCTAACCTTTTGAAGGTCATGTTGACCAAGATCATAGAAGACTGTTTTGAGTTTTGCACTTGAATAAGCGACACAGCTTACGCTGGAAGGGGGTTCCTAAAAAAAAAATGATGACCTGGGTCATTTTGGGTGAGTGACCCATTCTGACCTTAAAGAGATCCGTGGAAGGTGAATTATGCTGCTCCAGTTACCAATAAATTCAAAATGAGCACCAGAAACCACGCCATATAGCAAGCCCTAGACCTTACAAAACAGGTTGTTTTTTACCTTGGTCTGACCTTCATACCCAACGCTAGGTTAATGAAATTTGCTCATTCAATTGTTGTGTTGCCTTTGAAAGTAGCTAAGAGGTGCATAGCTTTGTCCAACATTTCGTTGTTGAATCAGATTGAACGATTCGCAAAGAAATTTCCGTCGCTGAGACCACGGCCCGAATTTGACCTGACATAGATCAGTGACCTTCTAAGGATCATCTACATTTTTGATAGCAGACGACCCACCATTCAATTGTCTATAGCTGTGTAAAATTTGGCACGGCTACGCCTCGCTGTTCGGAAACCACCTCAGAAAAACCTTCGGAGGTCAATTTGACCCCCACCCGAGCGCGTGTTAATGTTTTAGATGAGCACCCACCAAGGGGTGGATCCGGGGCAAGTCTCTTGCCATGTAACTAAATGCCTGCTAATCGAAATACGCACGTTGTCGCGTTCACTGGTTCTTACTCTTTATAATTCGTCCGTCCCGGTGGCTCGAATGGTTGGAGCGCCTGCCTTCCGATCCACCCACCCGAGGCGGGGCGGGTTCGAGTCGCTTTAGGGCGCTCGCTATTTGCCCTTGACAGGTTTGGCCCGCGGCCGGTGGCAGCGGTCACGCTGAAGGTCAGTTGACGTCAGAGGGCAGGACGGACCGTCCCGAGCATTGCGGCACGTTAAGCTTTCGCCACCAAATTCTGCCGTTGACATGGAATTGCGCGATCGGGTGGTAGGGGTCAGAGCTCACACAAGCACTGCTTAGCGTGAGCTCTGATCTCAGAAATCCATCCATTTAAAGGGTTCGGATCAAATCTTTAAAAAATAGCAGCAATAATAATAATTTAGGTGATGTTCATGGATTCGATCATTTCGATGACTATGAGATTGCTTTACTCCTAGACAGTCAATTTTAGCTCAATAACAGCCAGGTTATCGCAAAAAAACAAGATTTTTATCACCGAGCACAATTATACAATCTGCTTTTAATATTTCAAATTGTACCGGCTCAGATTAGTAAGTTTGTGCTGAAAGTTAAGAAGTGTGGACCGGTAATCACCTGGAGGATTTAATTGTTAAGGCTTGAACACTGACAGCCTCAGGTGACCGGTCGTGCCTGCGTACAAATTTGAAAATTTGGATTTGAAATTTGACACCGGTAACTATCCTGTGCACTGTCATAAATCCCATATATATATATATATATATATATATATATATATATCCCATATATAGTCATATATCCCGTCCATCATAAATCACGCTCACCCCCTCCCCCTCGTGCCTGTGCTCCAGCCGGCGTCGCACACTCCCCTCGGCCCACCTGAGTCGGCGAAGGGCAGGTCGGCGCAGCCTCGCAGCAGGTCAGCCGTGCGGTACGGCCCCTGCGGCGACGAGCAGGGTCGCTCAGGCTGCCGCTCGGGCGTGCCCTGCGGCGACGAGACCGGCGACGGGGACGCCGGCGAGCTGGGGCCGGAGCTGCCCTCCGGCTCCGGGTTGGGCGACAGCGAGAAGGTCAGCAGCGGCACCGCCTCGGGGCGCGAGAGGCGCCGCGACTCGGGCGAGGCGCTGCGGAACCGGAAGTCGACGTGGCGCGCGGCCGTGCGCTCGCCGCGGCGCTCCGACATGACGGCGGCTTCTGCCGGCCGACAGCAACTGAGTCATGTTTGGTGACGGTCGCCAAGAAGAACAAGGATAGCGCCTGTATTCATTTGAGTAAAATACTGTTCTGCAAAGTAACACAACGAACGATTAGCACAATGTTGCCCATATACGACTGAAAGCGTGTGTGTGGTGTGATGAGCGACGTTTGCTCGCTTATGCAACGCATCTCGAGAACGGTAAGACTGCGGTGACAGACGAAGCTTGTTGCTACCACACATGTGATCTGGTCGTCGCATATCAATGATTAAAATAAATCAGTGCAATTAGATGAAAGGGCATATTACTAGAATGGTATTAATTCCATCGCACTTTATCAAACAAGTTAAAGCTATCACTTAATGAGTCTATCTCACTCCAGCCGATGGATAGCAATGTATTGACCCCCTCAAAAACTTAAAATTTCAAGACAGTATCGTCATACGCTTTGTTCACTAGGATATTCTATGTAAAGTGAAGCTTCGGGGCAGAAATTCGTCATCAATTTTCTTCAAACTACGTCGCGTAGGGAGACACGATCAGGTTGCACCGTCCAGGAAAATGAAAATTAAATTTTAAAGAAGGGCAAAAGACGACTGTGCGGCGGAGGAGAAGGAAATTCGGAAGGTGTGTGAGTTACTAGCTGAATGACAGACTTATGTAGCATTTGATCGACGCGTGGAACATGGCCGCAGACAACCACATCACGTGAACAGAAGACTGGTCGTGCTACTCCGCTCTAGCAATGGTCGCACGTTGACATAATATGCAACTACCAATACTTTCGGGTTCTAAGGCTTGGCCTGCCTCAGATAGCCTGAAACGACTGAAAGAAGAACCTCCCTCCCTTTAGCTCGGCTATATTCGAGACAAGAGGATCAATAAAAAGGGAGGAAGGGGGAGCAAGGGAAGGATGAAGGGAGGGAGGGAGGGAGACAGCGGGTAACAGGAGAGAGATAGAGAGAGAGAGAGAGGGAGAGGGAGAGAGAGTGAGAGAGAGAGAGTGAGAGAGAGAGTTGGAGGGAAAGAGAGAGGGAAAAGGGGAAATAGATTAAAGAAAAAGAGGGAGGAAATTAGGTGTGGGGGGGGGGGCACGGAGTGTAGGAAAGGAGGGTTAGAAAAGGAAGGAAGGGAGCAGGGAAGAAAACAGATAAATGAGAGGGAGCCGAGAAATGCAATATGAGTGCAAAAGAGACAGTCTAGCCAGGCAGAGGACAAGGAACAGTGAAAAGCCGCTAGGGCCATTTCCCCATGCTGGCTTAGCCCAGTCAGTCAGCACTGCTCCTCGACTGACGTCCACACATCGAGCGCAGATCCCCGCTGCCACGGGCTAAGTCGATCGGATCTACCGGGAATCGGAGCCAGCGGGGCGTGGCAGGCCCGTCCCCAGTCAGCGCGCGGGTGCCGGAGGATCCGTTCCCAGCCGGCGGACGGGCGCCTCCGGGCGCGCCACCCGGCCCTGGCAGAGCGGCTATTCCTGCCGTGCCTGACTGAAAACTGCGCCGTGTGAGATTGCGGCGGGCAGTTGCAATTTGGATATTCCACCACCTCTCTCTCTCTCTCTCTCTC